CTAGATAATCATCATCATCATATTATAATGAACGGTGAAGAAAATACAAATCAAAATTCAATTATTCTCAGAAATAAATCTTTATCCATATCACAGAATAGAAAGAAAGCTTTCTCCACATGTTCACCATGTCGAGAATTATTATCATTAAACCTATTGCCAACAGTCAAACAATCATCCGCATCGACAATATCCGATCATCATCATCATCGTCAGCAGCAGCAACATCGCCAGAATGACGATATATTTGCAGAATTCTTCTTTAAAATCAATAATCCACTGTCATCGCCATGTTTGCAAAATTGTCCTCCTACTACTAAAAATCATTCATTGTCATACAACAATACACTGAGCTCATCTTATCAAAGTTCAATATTACGTAATCATTCTTGTTATCAATCGACAACGTCGACTAGATCACGGAATAGTTTATTTCATAATCAAACTAGTAGTAATAGTAGCAGTAGTAGTAGTCGTTGTTCTTACACTCATACTACTTGTAATAGTATAAGTAGTAGTAGTAGTTTATCACCAATGTTAATAACAACATCCAGTGGTTCATCATTATTTTTCAGTTGTAGTAATAGTGGTAGTAGTAGCAATAGCAGTAGTACAAATGGTCGACCACGAACGTCAAGTGACGTGAGTAATATGCGTCGATCAAATTTATGTCGTTCACGTGTACAACATCACGCACGTCATTTTTATCAACCACAACACCAACAACAACCAACTATAATGGTTCAAAATCATTTTCTTCAACATGTGAATTATCCATTTCAATTACAACAACAACTCAGTCCCCGCACTCATCGTTTGAATACTGTCGATAGTCGAGACTTGACCAGTATCAATGAATCGCTAACAATACCAACGGAGAATAATTCAACTGCGATCGATCCAATTGGTAGACCACGTGCAGCAACTACAGGATCTTCTTATTTATTAACCAATAAACATCGTTTATTAACAGTATTGAATCATTTAAAAATGATGAATTGGTCTAAAAAATTAAATCATCCGCATTTAAATACTGTTACTACTAAATGTAATATAAGTAGTATACATAATAATGCGAAAAAACTCAGTCAAGATTCATTTGAAACTGCTGGAAAAACGTATTTTCACGAAGGTAACGATGATGAGTATGTTGAAACATTATTTCCTATGACTAGTGATTTATATTCACATAATTTAAAACAATTAACATTACAAATGAATGCAATCCCGAATTTGTCAAATCATTATATGATTTTCTAAATGCTTTCTAGCATTTACTTATTTATTCATTTTTTTTGTAAAAAATTTTTCGACATCAATATTTTCCATTTAAAATTATCATGAAAGATGATTTATTTATTTTTTTTCTAAAATAATTATGTCGTTTGTATTATTTTTTTGTGCAAAAGAAAAATTATATTTTTTATCCTTTGATCATATAACACAACATTCCGTTGAGAGATTTTACAGGTTGATGTTATTTTTTATTTGCAATGTCGATCGATTGGTTGCTACATATTCATCGGTATTAGCTAAGTTAATTTTATAAATGGGATTATTTTATTTGGAATTTGCTACAATATACATATTGTCTACAATGAAACACTTTTTTTTGGTCACAGTTCAAACATGTTAAATTACTAAACAGTTATGTAGAAATATACTATGATAGTAAGAGATTGAAAAAGAAGTTTCTTTTAATAATCATTTTTTAAACCATTGATCTCTTCAAATCAACACTTAGAAAAAAAAAAGACGATCAACTAACTGTACACAAATCATCAAAGATTCTCTCCGATTTTTGGAAAATTAGAACAACACATAGATAATAAGTGAACAGTAGTGTTGTTGTTTACGATTAAATTGTCTTTATCAAGTGTTTACAAGAAATTCATGATATCATCCCCTATCTCTTCCATGTGGTTGGATAGGACTTAACCAACGTTTAAAATAAATTTTTTTTAATTTTATTTTGTTATAATTTTCACATCCTGAATTTTGTTGGTAATTTTATTCACCTCTTTCCGTTTATATTCTTCTTCACTGTCTAGTTATTTCACACACTTCTTATTACGTAATGAGTTTAATGTTTTGTCATGATTATTTTAAGTCGATTTATCCACGAGGTTTCACCTACCTATTGACAAAAAAACTTCAGTCATCGTGTTTCATTGTCTTTACCAAAACTATCAGTACACTTCTGTCTTCCTACTGTTATCAACTTGTGTACTTTTGCCTGATTATGTGTGTAAAGTGACGTAATCTCTATTTCATTTCATTGTAACTTTTAACTCAAATTATCTTGATTTTTAATAGAACAATGATGAGAAGATGTAATTGATCGGAAAAATAGTGTGATGTATATTTGCGCGCTATACATTGTTCAAACAATCTGGTCACACAAATAAGTGTACACTTGTCAAGGCCATTTTGATATGAAGATGAATAAATAAAAGGTCAATTTGATAAATAAAAGTTCAAATAGACATAAAATGATAATTATGGAAATAAAGGACGGAGAGAAAATTAACGTAAAGCCTGATAACAACGATCTAATTGTACACACAACAACACTATTGTTCGCTTATTATCTGTGTGTTGTTCTAAATTAATGTTTGTGTTACACGAATACAACAATAAATAAATTTTTCAATCATTTTCATTATTTATTAATTAATTAATTATTTTTGTTTAAATATTAATTATTTTTTCAATTGTTCAATTTTTCCTTGTTATTTTCTGTTTTGTTTATATCAATGAAAAAATGGAATATGATTGGTTAATTGATTCATTGATTTCTTTGTAATTTTCATTGTAATTAACATTGTATCGAAAAAAAGAACTGTTATGTAATGATGAATATCACTGATAAAAAAATTGTATTTGTTTGTATAATCAATCAAATTTAAATGTCTTTCATTGGATTTTCATTTTGTCTGTTGTATTCATTCATATTCATTAAAAATTTTATTGAATAAAAAACGTTTGTTTAAACAAAAGCTTTTTCATTATCATGTAGAATGTAAACTGAGGTTTGGATTGAAGAAAAACTGTCTAGGTAGACTAGAGATACGCGCTATTGCCTAGTTGAAATTTCAAACAAGGTGATTTGGGTAAATAATGTTTCTAAACAAATATTACCACTTCAAGTATTCCATCAACAATTGTTCAATTAAACAAATCAATAGCTTTTGGTAAACCATATAGTCGTGGTGTGTAGGATCCAGTAGGCTTAATTAAGTCGTGGATTTGAGGCGTAATAATACCTTTTTTCTTTAATTCCTTGATAGAGTTTGTCAATTGATTTTCTACTTTTTTATTGATATCATGTATGAAAATGTTAAACTAATATCAAGGCAATTTGAGTGATAATCACAATGAAATGAAAAAGGCAAAAGTACAAGTGGATAGTAGGAAGATAGATGAACCGATAGTAGTAGGATGAGACCTTGATCATAAGCAAACCAGACAAGGGGGGAGGTATCGTTCTTATGAATAAAACTGATTACATAAATAAAATGGAAGGGATGCTCGATGATCCTAGCAAGTTCCAAATAGTCACCTGTAATAATGATATCAATAAAAAAGTAGAAAATCAGTTGACAAACTCTATCAAGGAATTAAAGAAAAAAGGTATTATTACGCCTCAAATCCACGAATCAATTAAGCCTACTGGATCCTACACACCACGACTATATGGTTTACCAAAAGTTCATAAATCGGGTCTTCCTCTACGCCCGGTTCTTGATATGTTTAATTCCCCGTACCATCAAATCAATAACTGTTACGCACGCACATAAACATGTAATTTTTGATAGGCTTGAAGTATTACAAGTTTATCTTAGTTGGAAAACGAGAGTGAAGATCGAGGAGACAGCGACACAATAGACTACTCAAATCTGATTATTCCAACCGACATATTGAGTGAAAATAAGAAGACAAGACTTGATATAAAGTAGAACTTGTATTCTACAAGAATTTAGGAAGTACGAGGTCTGAATCCCGAGGAGAATCAGGGTCCCAGACTAGGGATCCGGGTCCATGTCATAAAACGTTACAGATAATGCGTATTTATACATTTTGGTTGAATAGGAAACAGCATCGAATTCTGTGACATTGACAGTTAAGACGACCAATAGGAAACAAAATTTGAAGTGACATTAACAGTCAGGACGAGCAATAAGAAAGAACGTTGTAGTACATGACATTGATATTTAGGACGACCATAAAATTGACCAATAGGAATTAACCAATAGGAATTGACCAATATTGGATGAATATCCTAACAATAACACAAATAAATGTTATTCCATCCCTCCTGGATAGATCAGATTCGTTCGAAAGATAATATTTGGTTGCTTTATAACACACAGTATTTTTCTATTCTGAAAGAGTGCTTCAATTCACAATCGAAATGCACAATTCCAGTCAAAGCTAGAGCAATCTAATCAAAAGAGGAACAGATCAATATGGCTGTCGTCATGACTAAGTATCAGCTTAAACAACATAAATGCAGTCCAGAAAGAAACACTGAAACTCATTAAATCGAAAATGGATCCTACAATCATCATCGTCATTTTTCATTGACATTTTAGGAGTGTAATTGATCAGATGATTATTGTGTAGTGAGGATATCAACTTTCAAATTTATTACTTACTTACTCACTTAGTAAGTAAGTAAGTCCCATACCAAGACTTGATGGTCATCTTTCAGTGCTTCTAGGTTCCAAATGGTGGTGGCCTAACAATCATTGATTCATGATTAGAATGTAAAATTCAAATTAAACAAGACAGATTTAGTTAAACTATTACGAGTTAACCTTACTCGATAAACGAAAGTGAAGACAAATTATGCAGTAACCTGATAGGCTACTCTAATCCGAGCGATCAAAAGCCCCATTAAGTAGAGGAAGAAGTCTTGATAAGGCGTAGAAAGTGTATTCTACAAGCATCTATAAAATATGAGGTTGACAAGCACACATAAATCGAGTTTATTTATGCATGATAGAAATGTCCATGAGAGAGCCACAAAAAATTGCGTACTAAAATAACAAACACATCGACCAATGACAGTCAAGTATTTTTCGAGTGGAAAGTAACATCTCAAGGTCAACTGATCAGCCCATGTGTGAAAATATAAAACACTCGAAATTAGGACAATAATCAAATGAGTTCTGGAGGGATCTAATTTCCCAAACAGTTTAGTTTTTCCGCATGAAGAAGGAAAAATTTACATGAGTAAAGCATAAAATAAAACAAATACATTGAATACTAAATGTAGTCAATTGTACAATAGAATATAATGATATAGTTAAATGAAATAAATTAGATATTAAATAAATCATGATGAATTTACATGAAATTAATAAAAATTTATTAAAAGAAAATCTATTAATACTACTTTTATTATCATGATGATTATTAGTAGTATGATTAGTAGTGTTAAAATTTTTATTCATTTCATTATTATTATTAGTATTATTATTATAAAAAGTACATAATAACAATAAAGATGATGATATTAACGATAATGATGTCCATGATGATGTTGGTGATGTTGGTGACGATGACGATCGTGACTGAATATGAACAATGCCGCAAAATTGTAACAACCATATTGATGTACATAGAATTAGCAGTGTACTAGATATAAGATGATTATGAAATTGTAAAATAATTGAATAATTTGAAAATAAACTAAAAATACTAGAAAAATAGAAAAAAAAACAAACAGAAAAAGAAAGTAGTTAAAATGGTTCAATATGCATTTTGAAGCATTTTAAATAATCAATAATGAAAATAATATGTGTTTAAGAAGTGTAGCACATGTTCGTTCGCAATGGCTCCAGTGCATTTATTCTTTGTGTTCACTCTTAAATCCTAATCTTTTGGATTCTTCAACACCTTTAGTTTTGTCTTTCTTAATTTATCTCACTGAATCATACTTCTTGAATAATATCTTCTAATCCTAACCTCTCCGATTACTTCTAATACCTTTATTACCTCTACTACTAACTATTGGATTTGAATTGACAATTACATATCTGTGCTAATGTGGTATGGCAACATGAACTGATGTACTTACGTACGACTGACTGACTGTAGTACACGTTTACAATATAAAACATTGACTTTAAAAATGATCTATATCAATGTTTAATCAATATCAAATAAAGTAGTTTAGTGTGTTGATGATATCATTAAAGTAGACTACTTTGATAACTAAAGGATGAGTGTACTGTGCAGCATTTCGGTCTGTCCTACTATATGGATGCGAAACATGGCTGGTAAAGAGTAGAAGACATTCGTAGGATATTAGTATTCGATTAGAGATATCTTAGAAGCATTGCTCGTATATTGTGGGACAATCGAGTAAGCAATGCTATGGTTAGGAAACGAGTTCTAGGTAGGGATAGCAAATCAATAGATGAAGTAATGAAACTTCATCAGTTGAGGTGGTTGGGACATGTGTTACGTATGGCTAACCACCGACTGCCTCGAAGAGCTTCGTTTTGTGGTGTAGGAATAGGTTAGAAGAAAGTTAGGGGTGGTCAGACCAAAACATGGCACAAATCCATGAAGTCACTGACAAGTGGACTGAGTCATGTTGGTAGATGATGTAGGCTGCCTGTTTGGGGTCCGTGAGACAATAGTAACCGATGGTTAGAGATGTTGAACGACATGACTGAAAATCGTTTTCAGTGGCGCAAGTGCATCCACTCTTTGTGTTCTCACTAATGCTAATCTTCTGAATTCCTCATCACCTCGATCTTTCTCTTATTAAATTTATTTCACTGAGTTATGCTTTTTGAATAATATCCTCGAACTCTAATCTTCTCTATTACCGCCAATATTTCTGCAACCTCTACGACTGTGGTATTTTAATTGACAATTACATCTCTGTGCTAATGTGGTATAACGACGTGAACTTATATACGTGCGTACAAAGTTCTAGGTTTTAGCTGTCTAAACGACTGATATCATTTAAGTTAAGAATTTCATCAGGCCTAGTTGATTGGTGTCTGACAATATCTCAGCACAAATTCTGAAAGCTTAGTTGACTTTCCTCAATTTGTATCACTTGTAGAGTAAGTGAGATATTTGTTTCTCAACTAAACAGTGGGAGTTTATTCAGCAGCATTTCACTTCGTTTTTCCTTTATCGCTGTGAAAGCATTGACTTCAAAAATACAGAATATACATACAAGTTATTACTAATATTCAATGATAGCTATTCACGAAAAAGCATCACTCGTATATTCTCGAACTATCTATCCAATTACCCCAACTCTGGACTCGAACACACAATAAATAAGTCAATATGACAAATCAATTGATGAGATAGGAAATCTTTGTCGATTGAAGTAGTATATATATATATATATATATATATATATATATATATATGACATGGTATATCCATCCACCCATTGGCAACCTTGATACACAATGATGACCAACGTAAGAGTTGGTTGGAAGAAAGTGAAATAAGACTAAACAAATAGTGTCAGTCCAAATAATCATCATGCCACTCAGGCCAACGAGAAAAAAATCAAATCTAGCGAATGAAAAGCCATGAAGAGTAACGATGAGTATGCACATCTGTATTATTTCGACCTAACTTTGTCTACCCATATTCAGCTGATTGCAAATCACATAAATTTATTATCACTCAATAATCTTGAAAAAAAATTATACAGTGTTTTGTGTGATCTGTTAGCTCATTAACTTCTTCCCAAAATATTTCCGACAGTGAATCAGAGTATTTCAACATCACCATTGTTTTTACACAGTGAAATCATGAATCAGTCGTTGTTAGACCAACACCATTAGAAACCTGGAACCACACTGAAAGATGGTCATCGAATCCTAGTATGGGACTCGTCAGTGGCAGAGCGCATCAATGACTACTGCTACTCACAGGATTTAAAAACTCAGGATCTTCGGTCTTGTGTGCGAACGCCTAATTTCTGGGCCACTGGGCCAGCATCCAATGGTGTCAGTGTCTAACTCTGATCAATCTAATGATTTCTGCGCAACCTCAGCCATTGTCTTTGGTAGTTACAATCTACACTAGACAGGGTTGAACTTCATTGTTCAAGTCTTCTCACAGAATTTCCTCACGAAACTAGTCACTAGTCACGATTTCGAGCCCTGTTACTTGAAGTTTTCTACCATTAGGATGGATATCTAGACCAACGTAATTATGGTGGTGTTTCGTTCTCTGAGCTGGTTGTTTTGGTTGTGGAGCTTTCATTGTTCTTCTACTGAACAACATCATCAGCACAAACTTCAGATAGAAGTGAAGTGTTCGAATTTCTCCACGTTTGACCTGTAGCTTGTTCTGCTAACCTCGATCTTGATTGGTTGTTGTTGACGTTTGACCTGTCGTTGTTTGCAACTTTGTTTTGATTGTATCCTCCCTTTTGATCTGTTTCTTGATCCTATGTCATCTATGATTTTTTCTGTTTGGTTGATAGATTGAGTAAATGTCGATGTGTTTGTTGATTGCTGGTTGGCCCGAGTGCCAAGCTTTTAGAAATTCTCTGGTGATCTTTGTCCTCCACCTACTCAGTCTTTTCACATTGTTCCAATCAAATGTGTGTCCATAATTGTCGGTATGTATTGAGATAAGCGAAGCGTTGTCGTGGCGTTTTACTGCTAATTGATGTTCACGTAAACGAAGCTGAAGAGGTCATCCACTTTGTCCTATGTAGTGTTTTACACAAATACCAGCACAAACATCATGGATGAACAAAAAAGAAAACTAGAAAGAATACTTACATCAGAACACTTAACAACGTTGACAACGGCGATTGAACTGTCAAGCAGACGACACACACAGAACAAAGAAGAAGCATCCTCAAAGACAAACTAATCAAGATTTCAAAGCAACCCACAGAAGAAAACACAAACAGTTGTGTGGTCAACTTATTGAAGCAACATCTAACGACAACAGAAGAACAACTGCTCCAAAAAGGATTAAACTATAACACGATGGACGCTTCAAAACAGGACAAAACTCCACCGGTCCAGTGTTTCCAGGTTTTTTAATGATAGCCTAACAATCATTCATTCATGATTTCAATCAATGTGTAGCAACAACAATCTCCATAATCCTTACTCCATAATACAAAAATCATTTTCACTAACCTAAAATCATACAGTAGTCGTATACGTTCAATTAATGCGATCCAATCATTAAACATGAATAAACTTATCATTAACAATAACACGAATAGACGACATTGAATTAAATAAAATAATTTTAATAAATAATTCATTTGATGATGATTATTATTATTATTCAATGTGAATGATTTTGTTTGAATTTTCTGTGGTTGTTGTTGTACATTGAACAATAATTGATCATGATTGTTATTATTATCTATTGATAATTGTACAGTATTGACATGATTGTGTTGATGAAATGAAATGATCTAATTTATGAATGAATGAATGAATAAATAAGAAAAAAAAGGGTTGAAAATATAAATTAAATTAAAATTAAATTAAAATATTTTCAATTGGAGTTATGGAGGTGTTAGAGTTTTTTAAACACATTTGAAATCATTAACCAATCAATCAATCATTTTTGTTAGACCATCATTAGAAACTTGGAAGTATTATTGGACGGAAGTTTCGTCCTGGTATGGGACTACTGATCAGCAGTGCGCATCCACGACTCCTGCTGTAGTGAAGGAGAACACAGGTGAGGGCAACCAAATTGTATTTAACGAAAATTACAGAGTTACTCAGTAAAATAGGAAAACCATATCGTAAATCGTTAATTTGCAAATCTTCAATCCATCATCAATTCATTGTCTGACATTTCACCACTGTTCATGCGTTTCATACAAATTCCATTGTGTTCTCACTCTTATTCCTTTCTTGATCTTCCCCATCTTCTGTTGCCAGACATTACGTTTACACTCACGTCATATACTACTTATAAGTAGGGCGCACCACACTGCAACTTGCAAGATTCGAATCCAGGACCTTCGGTCTTGTACGAGAACGCCTAACCTCTGGACCACAATACCGAAGGTCCCGGGTTCGAATCTTGCAAGCTGCAGGAGTCATGGATGCGCACTGCGACTGTTGAGTCCCATACCAGGACGAAATGGCCGTCCAGTGACACTTCCAAGTTTCTAATGGTGGTCTAACAACAATGATTGATTGATTCATGATTTCAAATGTGTAAATTAAAACATTCATTAGATCAAAAGTTATACACTGATATTAACAATAGACGAATTAGTAGTTAATTGTGAAGTGTGTATCAGCAATTGGATATAAAAAGATGGAGTAATTTTTAAAGGGACTAGTTTAATGGTCGTCACTTGATATGCTTGAAACTATTACGGGTTCACCTTAGTCGATAAACCAGAACGAGACAATGAACCAGTAGTACCCGAGTAGGCTACTATGATCCGCTGACCCAAAGGAACTAACGAAAAAGTTTTGATATAGCGTAAAAAGTGTATTCTACAAACGCCCAACAAATACAATGATCTCAAGCACACAAATCGCGTTTATTTAAACATCATAGAAACGTCCTTGACAGAGTCACAAAATAGCAAACTGAAATAACACAGCAACCAATCACAGCCTAGGATTTTCCCAGTAGGAAGTGAAATCTCACGGTCAACTGAACAGCACATGGTCAGAAACATAGAATCCAAAATTAAGACAATGATCAAGCAAGTTCTGAGGATCTCACGTCCCCAACAACTAGTGCGTGTCCTAGGTGTTGAACAAAAAAACACTAATTAGGTCTTTTCTGTTCGACCGACTACTCTTCACGTGTTGTTTGATATTCGCTTATCATCTTGGTTGATTTGCATTTAATATGTGTTTGAGTTGCTTGCCTCACTTTTCACACGGCATGTTTTCAGCTTATTTTTCTGACTAATAAACAGTTAGTTAGTCAAGGCCTTAATCATATACAGCTGTCTCACTCAACTTCTTCGCCTCACTTTTATGCTTCCCATTGGTTTACGATTCGCTTTATTATCTATCGGTTTGCCTATTGGTTGTATGAAATAAGGACGTCTAAAATTAATCATATCGAGGTTTTTAATAACCGTTGTCACACGAATGAGGTTTACCTAAGAATGATGTACAAGAGGAATAGAAATGAAATATTCATTTCATGGCATATTTCAATTGTTCATCCAAAATAGAATCAGGTTCTGAAGAGAGAGAACACAAGGAATGGATGCAACTGAGCCAGACAGACAGACAGACAGATACAACGCAGAACTTCGTACATAAGTACATCAGTTCAGGTTGCCATACCACATCGGCACAGAGACGCAACTGTCAGTTCAAATCCAAGAGTGATAGCGATAGTAGAAGTATTAGCAGTAATGGAGAAGATTGAGGAGTGATTTGATAAGTGTAATTCAGTGATATAAATTTAGAAGGAGAAAAATAGAGATTATGAGGAATTCATAAGATTAGAATTAGAGAGAACACAAAGACTGGATGCACCTGCGCCATTTAAAACGATTCTGAACCATGTCGTTCAAGGTCTCTAACCATTGGTGACTTTCGTCTCGCGGACCCCAACCACGTAGCCTACATCTACCAACATGACTCAGTCCACTTGGATTTCTGCCATGTTTTAGTTTGGCCACCCCTAGCTTTCTTCCAATCTACTCCTACACCACAAAAAATAGCTCGTCGAGGCAGTCAGTGGTTAGCCATACGTAACACATACAACTGCGCCATTACAATCGATTTTGAGTTATTTCATCCAGTGAATGTCTCTAACCATCGGTGACTTTCGTGTCGTGGACACCAAGCAGGAGGTAGTTTACACCTACTAACAAGGGCTCAATCCATTTGTCAGTGACTATATAGGTTTGTGCCATGTTTTAGTCTGACCAAAGTGAAGACTAGTTAACTATTGGCTTTTTTTTCCCCGAATTTCCCATCATTTCATACGTGTTTACTTATTGTAGAACTTATTGAACGAGTTGAACATTGAATTTCAATCAACAAAAAATTGGACATTGAACGAACAATGTACAATGTTTTACGATCAGAAATCATCATCATTTTCCAGTCAATATATAATCAATGATGAGCTAGCTGATGATGACGTGATTGTTATGCAACACAGTCAGTCACAATAGAAAATAAAAAAAAAAGACAATGAGAAAAAAAATGCGCGATAATTTTCATTGACAAAATTTATATTCACTTACATTAAAGAATAATAGCAATAAACTGAGTAACGAAACAGCTAATGATTCACTGAATAACCAACCAATTAATAGAATACACATTATTGATAGATTCACCAACCATAGAGAAGAAGATGAAACACTGAAAAATGGAAATAAAATAAAAATAAAAAAAGAGAAATGCCTGAATAGATAGATAAAATGAAAAAAAACTATCCATATGACTAGGATGAGACTAAAATTCTTCAACAGTTACAGTTATGGAAGTCATTGTTTCTACACATTGATATCATGAATCAAAACATTGTAAGACCATTAGTATACACCTGGAATCACTGAAAGACGGTCGTCAAGTACTGTTTTTGGACTCATCAGTGGCAGTGTACATTCATGACTCCAGCGACTTTCAGGATTCGAACCCAAGACCTTTGGATGTTGCGTGCGGTCGCCTAATCTTTGGATCACTGAGCCGGCTAGCGTCCAACGGTGTCTGACTCGAATCAATCTAGGGATTTGGCGTAACCTCACCCATACACCGGACAACTGGTAATACAGCTTCTCATTAGGACTCCAAGAATTCCCTCACGAAGCTAGTCACTAGTGCGTAATTAATTAATTTATGAACGAATCAATGATGTTTAGGGAAAACAAGTCGTATATTTTGGCGCGGAATTCTCACCCAATGGTAAATTAACATTTTGTCAGTTCATAATAAAACCTTTAATTCCTATTCATAATTCCTGACACTAAAATACAACCCTCTTTTAGACCTGGTATCAATAGGTGAGTATTCTCAAGGTCACTACAGCAACGTTCATTGATCGATCACCGAAGACTAGAAACGTAATTATATCTGAATTTAACGGTTACATAGTTCTAAGCGCTACTATATACATCACATAAGTTTAATCTTTGTTACTGTACTACAGGTTGAGATGCTAGATGGCCACGTGATAATTTGATCATTGTAAAGCCCCCTTACTCTGTTTTGAAGGATGTTTTGGTGATCCTGGGTCCATGGAATTCACATCCTACGAGTGGTTTGAGTGCTTGTTTGGATAGCATTAGTGCAACTCCTTGTGCATGTACAGCGATTCAGTAATAACGTCTCACACTGTCGACAATAATAGGATAAGGATTGCAATCTCAGAGGAATCCTCATAGTTGCAGGTACGCATCGTCGATTACTGTCGGATAAAAAAACATGAGTACTTGATCGAGCAGGATCTATTATTGAGTACCGACAATTATGTAACGCTTCTCTAATCCGTGCGTCCCAAGGCCCATCTAAGTAGAGGAAGAAGTCTTGACAAGATGTAGAAAGTGTGTTCTACAAGCACCCAGACAATATGAGGTTGACAAGCACACATAAATCGAGTTTATTTATACATGATAGAAACGTCCTTGAGAGAGCCATAAAAATAGCGTACTAAAACAATACATCAGACAATGACAGTCAAGCATTCGGCGAGGGGAAATGTAATCTCAAGGCCAACCGATAAGCCCTTGCACGGAATCATAAAAAATCCAAAATTAGGATCTTTTTCAAGTGAATTCTGAGGACCCAACCTCCTCAACACTAACGACACCTTTAGGATAGTAGAAAGGCTAACACACCAATAACGTCACATATAACCCGGACCTCAATTCAGTTTTCCCTATAGTCTGACTTGTTATATTACTATTTCTCAAATCACCAAAGAAATAGACAAGTAACAATCGCACACATACCTCTGTAGTGGAATGCTTTTACTAAGAGAACACAATCGCTCAAATGGAAACACTCATCATTATAAACAATTATAACCATAACTGTTTTATTGTACCCCTCTATTTGTTTAACTATACTAAAAGACCATAACTCGTGTGCCAAGCGTGTTCCTTGGTGGTTATATTAGCTGCTGCTTTATTCCTCCTGTCTTGATATATATTTACGATATCACAAGACCACGAATCAATACAACACCTGGTCATCCAGTCACAATCTTTCTTTTGATTTCTAGATTTAACGGGATTTTATTTTGGTGAATCTCGTGACAAGTATAGTCACAATCTCACTACACACCTCTTCTCAACACAACCAACAACACTCGATATCAATGTCGTCATTTAAGTCACACACACACACAGAAAAAATCATTCAGTCAGTCAGATGCAACGTTGAACTTCGTACATGTTTGTACATCAGTTCATGTCGCCATACCACATTAGCACAGGGATATAATTGTCAATTAAAATCCAATAGTAGAAGAGGTAGTAAAGGTGTTAGAAGTAACCAGAGAGGTTAGGATTGGAAGATATTCAAGAAATATGATTCAGTGAGAAAAGTTTGGAAAGACAAAACTAGAAGTGTTGAAGAATCCAGAAGATTAGGATTTAAGAGAGAACACAAAGAATAAATGCACCGGCGCCATTGCGAACGATTTTGAGTCATGTCATTCAGGGTATATAACCATCGATTATTATCATCTCGTGGACCCCAACCAGGTAGTCGACACCTACCGACATGGCTAAGTCCACTCGTCAATGACTTCATGGATTGCTGCCATGTTTTGATTTGGCCGTCCCTAACTTTGTTCCAACCTATTCCTATACTACAAAACAAAGCTCGACGGTGCAGTCGGTGGTTAGGCATACGCAACACATGTCCTATCCACCTCAACTGATGAAGTTTTATCACTTCATCTATTGATCTGCCATTCTTATCTAGCACCCGATTCCTAATAATAGCGTTGCTCACTCGGTTGTCCCACGATATAAGAGCAATGCTTCGAAGACACCTATGATCGATAACCAGTAACCTACGAATATCTTCTACTCTCACTGGCCATGTTTCACTGCCATAAAGTAAGACAGAGCGAACTACTGCACAGTACACTCGTCCTTTAGTCTTGTAAACGGATATCTCGCCTACGCCATAAGTGACACAGGTTGGCAAAAGCCAATCGAGCCTTCTGTATCCGAGCTGAAAAAATGAATATAAATAAACCTCAAAGAATAATTTCTTACAAGTTATTATGATTATTTTGATTAGATTGTTTCTTCTGCTTTGCTGTTGCATAATCACATCGATAATGAATTAACAGTTGAGAAAGTAATAAAAATCCTTGATCAAACATACGATTCACCACTGGTATAATACATCCAAATGGTATGGAAATAATCAATAAGGGCAAATGATTAAGAATCAATTCGAATGATGCTGTAAACGATGATGATGATGATTGTAAAGTGTTGATTAAACGTAGACCAAGTTGACCAGTTTGTTGTAAATTAAACCATTCTGAGAAACTACATGGAAAAAGCAAGAACAATACAAACATTGATTACTGAATGTGTAGAAGCAGACAGTTCCTTAGAAAAGACAAGCCATTTCTTGACTGATGATATTCACTCCTCATTGAGTAGGATAGTTTGTGATGCTGAGTGGTAGTAAATGACCTTCCAAAGTGTGGACAGCTGGGAAGGGACATTCGCCTTCAGACCCGTAACAGAACACCCCCTAACATCTCTCTTATCTCCAAGACTAACGCATCTCATATTCACTTAACGTTCCGCATCGCTAAAGCAAACGATTCGAGTTCATGAAACATAATTTCTGGTCTCTTGAAACCTCGTTCTAAATTACATGTTGGAGCATTTAATGTACGGACATTGTGAATAAAATAGGGCAACAGGCTTCATTAATTAGGACTTTAGAATTTCGCGCCATCGATGTATGCTGCGTCTCGGAAACGTGTATACAGGATTCGAACAAAATCATGAATTTGATTTCATTTTGTCCAGATAAATAATCAACTCGTGTATTTGGAAGCCCTGATGCTGCTTTCCGTGGCCTTGCTGCTGTCGGTATAGCATTGAGTCCTGGGGCAGAACTAACTCTTCTAAACTGGATACCAGGTGAAAGTCGCTTATGCCCTGTCAGACTAAACGGGACAGTAAGGACTCGGAAAGATAGGTACACTCGCCGTTGGCTTTTCGTCGTATCTGCCTAAGCCCCCACTAACTGCAGCTCAGACGAGGTGAAAGATGAGTTTTGCACAAAGCTTTCAGGCCTGCTTCAAAAAGTTAGGTGCTCTGATATAGTAATAATGGCTGCTGATTTCAATCTTCAAGTACATAGACTACGTGAAAATGAAAGACACCTTGGTGAATCTTATGGTGTCACAGCTCAAAAAACAGATAATAGTGACCGTCTACTTTTCGTAGGTTACTGGTTTTCGATCACTGAAGTCTCCGAAGCAATGCTCGTATATCCTGGGACAACCAAGTAGGCAATACTGTTGTTAAGAAACGAGTAATAGGTAGGGATGGCAGATCAATAGACGAAGTATTGAAACCTCATCCGTTGAGGTGGTTGGGACACGTGTTACGTATGCCTAACCACCGACTGCCGCGACGAGCAATGTTTTGTGGTGTAGGAGTAGGTTGGAAGAAAGCTACGGGTGGCCAGGCCAAAACATGGAAGAAATCCATGAAGTCACTGACAAATGGATTGAATCATATTGGTAGATCTAGACTACCTGGTCGGGGTCCACGTAGACGAAGGTCACCAATGGTTAGGGACCCTGGAAGACATGGGTCGAAATTGTTTGCAATGGCGCAGGCGCATTCAATCTTCGTGTTCTCTCTAATTCTAACCTTCTGAATTCCTCAACATCTCTAATTTTGTCTTTCTAAACTTATCTCATTGAATTATACTTCTTGAATAATATCTTCGAAACCTAACCTTCTCCATAACTGCTAATACTTCTATTTTCTCTGGCACTATGAGATATGAGCTGATAATTGCATCTCTGTGCTAATGTGGTGTGGTAACGTGAACTAAGTATCCAAATAAAAGTGTCAATCCAAATTTTTAACTTACGGTAAAGGAATAAGCTGAAATCCAATAAAATTTATTAAAGTCACAATTTGATGATAATAAATTTCGTGAATTATTGAGAAATGATGATGATGGCGATCATCTTGAGAAGTAGATGATGAATAATGATCAGAATCTAAAAAAAAATGAATGAAAAGATTTCAACATCAGCATCGTCATCATCATAAAATTTTTAGTGCCTCCAACATATAATATTCCAGTTCGCTTACATCTCTAAGTTGGTTAAGCCCTTTCGATTAATTTGTATTTAACCAAGCCATTTGTATTGGGAGCAACAATCTGTATGTACCATTCGTTCTGATTATTGTCTGGTTTGTATGATGAGCTCACATGACGTGTCCCACTTGTCATTTGATCTTGTCAATCATTCGTCGCTTTTATTCATGTGTGTGCATGTCTATTTCTCGTGAAACATGTCTGTCTTATTTTTGTTTGACCATAAATTCTTAGTCATGCTTTATCTCTTGGAGTTGGCTCATTAGCCTTCTTCCAACGCGCTTCGCCTATTCAATCGCCTATTTCTTCGCCCACTCGTTCGCACTGTATTCCAAGGAGTTGGCTCAACAGCCTTCTCCGATTCACGTCACTTCATTCGTTTTATTCACTGTTTCTCCGCTTCGCTTTGTGTTCACCTTCTGATTTATAAAACGTCAGATGCTATTTAGTAACGATTGTCTGGACAATCTGATTACGAAAGATTAAGAACACGTCAAAATTGACACACCACAAATGGTGAGCCCGACGTGATATGGGTCACCACACATGTATTTACTAATTACTATCTATGGAAAATACTCAAGATTCACTGACTGGACACCATCGCCAACAACCTACTGTGCCAGAGAATAAACCAAATTCAAACTAAAGAGGAAATTAGGATAAACCAATGGAGGTGGATAAGAAACACATTGTGGAAATCACCGAACTGTGTAAAAAGGCAAACCCTGTATCAGAATCCTTAAGGTGAAAGAAAAAGAGGTCGAACCAAAGAACATATTGCACCGAGAATCGGAAACAGACATGAAGGGGATGAACAACATGTGGGTAGAACTAGGAAGGAGAGCACAGATTCAAAATGATTCGGAATGGCGCAGACTCGTGGAATATGAGTCATGAAATCTACTTCCAACTCGGTTAATTAATTACTATTGTCGAGAAATGAACAGGAAATGAAACTATTAATGTGACAAAATTCAAAATAGTTTATAATGTGTATTATTTAATCATTGTGTCTTACTCTAAGAGATTTTTAAATTTCAGAATTGATCTTTGGAATTTCACTGACTTTACCTTTTTTTAAATCGTATATATCTTGGCTGCTTTTAGTACTTTGCTATTAACATTAAAAATATTACTATTCTCTACATTACCCGCTCGTTGGAGGGATAATGGCGATTTCAATCGACATACTCTAATACAAACATGTCAGCTTCTAACTTGTGTAGGACTTAATCAAGGTGCTTACAACTGTTATGCATGCACGTAAACACGTCATTTTGATGTACTGGAACTATTACTAGTGTTTACCTTAGTCGGAAAACGAGAGCAAGGATCGAGGATACGGCGAGATGACATGCTACTCTAACCAGAGTGTCCCAACCCCATATTGAGTAAAAATAAGAAAACTTGATATGAAGTAGAACTTGTATTCTACAAACATCCAGAAAGTACGAGGTCCGGGTTCAGAAGAGGATGAGGATCTTGAACTAAGGATCCGAGTCCGGGTCATAGAACGTTACAGATAATACGTATTTATACATCTAGGTGTGATGGAACCAACATTAAAGTCTGTGACATTGATAGTCAGGACGACCAATGGTAAACAAAATTGAAATACGTGACAATGATTGCAAGGACGATCATAATATTAACCAGTAGTAATTAACCAATAGAATTAGACTTCCAAAAATAATTCTCTTAGGATATTGGATGAATATCCTAACAACAACATTCTCAATGTCAGATACATTCGACCGGAACAATTTCAAGTAATTAAAGAAAGGATAACATAGTGTCAATGAAGTGTCACAAGTTGGAGAAAGCTAGATCAATCACCAAACAGTCATATAACTAGTAAAAAAATCAATAATTGATTCGTATACTCCTGCACATGCAAATGTCTTAACTGGTATATATAATCAAACTGTCTGGGTACACTGAGCTCATAAGTAATCGTCAAGCAAGTACATGTGATTAGTCGGAAAAGGCACCATTTTGCAAGAAATGAAGTATTAACTAATGAATGTGTTGGGGATGTTAGATCCCCAAAATTCGCTTGATAAATGCCTTATTTATGGATTTCACATTTGCCAGCATGGGTTGATCAGTTGACTTTGAGATTTCATTTCCCATCAGGAAAATCCATGGCTGTGATTGGCTGCTGTGTATTTTAGTGTGCTATTTTCGTAACTGTCCCAAGGATGTATAAATAAACGAGAGTTGTGTGCTAGATTGTATTGTGTGATTACTGGGTGTTTGTAGAATATACTTTCTACGCTACATCAAGACTTCTGTCTACAGCTTGGGATTTAAGGTAGCCTATCTGGACGCTGGTAGTTGTCTCGTTCGCATTTATTGACTAAAGTGAACTCGTAATAGCTTCAAGCGTACCTAGTGATGAACCCTACAGAATGGTTTTATTTTACTAAATGATAGACATGGATATATAAATAAGTTTAGGTTGTTGCTTGATTCTGTTAGTCAAAAAAAATTCTGTCCTCATTTTTCTTATTTTCAATCAAGTAGCCGAGATTATGCATACCAAGACTACGGTACCAGTTCCAAGCTGTCGGATAACCAATTATCAGATATCATGGTGCAGATTAGACAATTGGACCACTGATTGTTTCTTAGGTGGTAACCTATGTTGACTTTATTTAGCTTTTCAGTACTGATCGAATTCTACTTAACAGGTCAGTAACATTTTGAATAGCTGAGTGCTTATCAAGAGTTCGAACCATTATATACAGAGTATAGTGTTTGTAAACCATGATGACTAGGCCAAATTAGCACATAAAATCTAGTTTTCTTTCGAATTATCTTAAATTATCAAACATTTCAAAAGACGTGACCAGAGGAGTTCAACGTGTAGACCGCTTCACTTATCTTGGGAGTCTCATCAGTGCCGATGGCCTGGAGACTGACGAAATCTCACCACGGATACAGAAGGCTCGATTGGCTTTTGCCAACCTGTGTCACTTATGGCGTAGGCGAGATATCCGTTTACAAAACTAAAGGACGAGTGTACTGTGCAGTGGTTCGCTCTGTCTTACTTTATGGCTGTGAAACATGGCCAGTCAGAGTAGAAGATATTCGTCGGTTACTGTTTTTCGATCATAGGTGTCTTCGAAGCATTGCTCTTATATCGTGGGACACCCGAGTGAGCAACGCTGTTATTAGGAATCGGGTGCTAGGTAAGAATAGCAGATCACTAGATGAAGTGGTGAAACTTCATCAGTTGAGGTGATTGAGACATGTGTTGCGTATGCCCAACCACCAACTGCCTCGAAGAGCTTTGTTTTGTAGTGTAGGAATAGGTTGGAAGAAAGTTGGGGGCGGCCAAACCAAAACATGGCACAAATCCATGAAATCATTGATGAGTGGACTTAGCCATGTCGGTAATTGTCGACTACCTGGTTGGGGTCCGCGAGATGATAATAATCGATGGTTAGAGACCTTGAATGACATGGCTCAAAACCGTTTGCAGTGGCGCAGGTGCATTTATTCTTTTTGTTCTCTCAAAATCTAATCTTCTGGATTCTTCAACAACGCTAGTTTTGACTTTCTAAACTTATCACATTGAATCATACTTGTTGAATAATATCTTCTAATCCTAACCTCTCGGATTACTTCTAATACCTTTACTACCTCTTCTACTATTGGATTCGAATTGACAATTATATCTCTGTGCTGATGTGGTATGGCGACATGAACTGATGTACTTACGTACGAAGTCCTACGTTGCACGTGACTGATTGAGAGGAGTTCAACCCTGTTAGGAGTAGGCAGTAACTACCGAAGACAAATAATGGGTGAGGTTGCGCGAAATCCCTAGATTGATCAAAGTTAAATATTGACACAGCTGGATGCCGGTCAGCTCAGTGGTCCAGAGGTTAAGCGTTCGCGCTCAAGACCAAAAGTCATAGATTTAAATTCTGTGAGTAGTAGAAGTCGTGGATACGCTCTGCTACTGATAAATCCTATACCATAACGAAATGACCATCCATTAATTTCAGGTTTCTTTCTAATGCTGATAGTCTAACAATCTATATTCTTTCATGTGATTTCAAGGTAAAGAAAATTGATTGGTTCAAAAATTACAACGCCAATTTGACAGCATGATTAAAACAATGAATGAATGAATTGAACTTACTACTTTCATGAAATTTATTCATCCATTGAAATGTTAATATAGCTAATGACAGAATCAAATGTCCATACAGTAATCCACAAATATGTGTACAATGAAGACGTATTAACTAATTTTTTTTGGTTTGTTTGTTTAAAATAAATGAAAAATAGAAAAAATGAAAACTCAACAAATAAAAATTGAACATTGAATGAATGAACACTAACACAGAAATTGTAAAAAAAAACTGTAAATACACAAAATATGAACACCATTTTTTTGTTGTTTGGTCAACTTATGAAAAAATGTATATGTAACTTAACAATCTTCACAACAACCCCGTAATGCAATTAATTACCTGTGCTCACTAGTGAGTGACTAGCTTCGTCGTGAGGAGAATCTTCTCCGAGTTCTAGTGGTGGGAAGACGTCATGACCACTGTGAAGTTCAACCCTGTTCGAGTGTAGACAGTAACTATTACTGAAGACTGTGTGTATGAGGTTGTGCGGAACTCCGTGAATTTGATCAAGTTAGACATTAACAACATCGTTAGATACCGGCTCAGTGGTCTAACGGTTAGGGCGTTTGCGCACAATACCGAAGGTCCTGGGTTCGAATCCTACGGGGTGCAGGAGTCGTGGATGCGCACTGCTGAAGAGTCCCATACCAGGACGAAACGGCCGTCTTTAAGTGCTTCCAGGTTTCTTCTGATGGTGTTCTAACATTGATCGATTCATGGTTTCAAAAAGTGTGTAACTTAACAATCTTCACAACCCCGTAATACAAATTACCTGTGCTCACTAGTGTGACTAGCGCTTCGTGAGGAGAATCTTCTCCGAGTTCTAGTGGTGGGAAGACGTGACCACTGTGAAGTTCACAACCTGTTCGGGTGTAGTAGACAGTAACTAACTACCGAAGACTGTGTATGAGGTTGCGCAACTCCGTGAATTTGATCAAGTTAGACATTATTAACACACCGTTGGATACCGGCTCAGTGGTCCGATGGTTAGGGCGTTCGCGCACAATACCGGAGGTCCTGGGTTCGAATCCTGCGAGGTTCAGGAGTCGTGGATGCGCACTGCTACTGATGAGTTTCCCGTACCAGGAAGAAACATCCGTCTTTCAGTGCTTCCAGGTTTCTAATGGTGGTATAACATTGATCGATTCATGGTTTCAAAAAGTGTGTAACTTAACAATCTTCACAACAACCCCGTAGTACAAATTCATCAAACTATTCATATCTCAATTTACATTACGGGGTTGTGAAGATTGTTAAGTTACACATTTGAAATCATCAAACGATCAATGTTAGACCACCATTAGAAACCTGGAAGCACTGAAAGACGGATGTTTCGTCCTGGTATGGGACCCTCATCAGTGGCAGTGCGCATCCACGACTCCTGCACCTCGCAGGATTCGAACCCAGGAACTTCAGTATTGTGCGCGAACGCCTAACCATCGGACCACTGAGCCGATATCTAACGGTGTTGTTAATGTCTAACTAGATCAAATTCACAGAGTTGCGCAACCTTAATTGACTCATTGTTTATCCCACACCGACTTGGTATATCAACAGAATGAAAATCTGATTGAATGAACAATCGGCGTAAGTAAACAAACTTGATTTGACTAAGATTACCTTGAAAAAAAATCGATTTGACATCAGCCGAATCGATGTAAATCAATATAATTTCAATTAGACTGTCATCAGACTTTACTCACATTAATATTGAATTTTTTGCTAACTTTTAAAAACCTATTGAACAAGTTGATAATTAAGTTGGACAGAGTAAATTTCAGTCAATATGAATATCAAAAACTAGAGTGCAATTACATTCAGCTTGCTTGCTTATATATCCTGGATTCGACCGCTGGTTATAATTAGACTTTACTGACAATTATTCCCATTAACTCATCGGCGGATTCGACAAGTTGGTTACGATTTACACACGAGAAGAGGCGTCATTCACACTTTCATAGAAACTTTGTGAGAAAAGCTGTCAAATCTATATGATAAGACGGTCGCTCCCAAATAAATACCAAGTAACTTTTTCAGACTTTACAGAAATCTTCAATGCATAAAACAATTGCGAAAATATTCCAATTATAATTGGAAGAATAAACAAAAAATTTAGTGGAAACTTTTAAATTTTTTATTGATTCATTGAAAATAAGAAATATACTCTAAAAGTCCTTTATTCAATATGCATAAACAATATCGACCAATTAGAAAAGAATATTTTTCCTACATCAAGGTCATTCAATGGACCAATCACATTCAACGCTCAATTAACATTTCATTCATATCAAATGAGGCTGTTTAGTCGTAATAGGCCTCTAATAGTGTAGTTTTTTTTTGTAAAAAACAGAATTATTAATAATGAAGGGATTTATCAGGAAACAATAGAATGTAATCAGGTGAGTGCAATTGACTTTAATTAATTAAGTGATTATCCTTACTTTCTTTTTATGATGCCTGGAAAATAAGAAAGAAAATCTCGTATATATATATATATATATATATATATATATATATATATATATATATATATATATACATATATAATGGCTAAATATGATTGTGGCTAGCGGTACTACGTATCAATAGCTAGATTTTTAGATGAACTGAACTAGGTCGCTTGCAAACTATAGGATATTCCTTATGGATACCAGTATTTTGCAACAGGATATTATCTCCCGACATATAACTTATAGATAGTTAAGTTACACATTTTTGAAACCATGAATCGATCAACGTTAGACCACCATTAGAAACCTGGAAGCACTGGACAGCCGTTTCGTCCTGGTATGGGACTCCTCACCAGTGCGCATCCACGATTAGGGCGTCCGCGCATAATACCGAAGGCGCCGGGTTCAAATCCTGCGGGGTGCAGGAGTCGTGGATGCGCACTGCTCAGGAGTCCCATACCAAGACGAAACGGCCGTCTTCCAGTGCTTCCAGGTTTCTAATGGTGGTCTAACACTGATCGATTCATGGTTTTAAAAATGTGTAACTTCACAACCCCGTAATAGAAATAGAGGTGCTGTGTTCTTTTGGTCTTTATATGAATGAGAGTACAGTAAAAAAAATAACTAGTTTTCATGACTAATTATTACGGGTGAAACAAACAAATTAGTTACAGATATATTGCGCAAGCATCAAACGAGTGTTACACTGTAGTTTAAAACTCTAAAATCAGGATTTCAATTATCTGATATCAGACTGTCATGAAAACAATGTCCTTCAATTAACATAAATGAAAGTTCTATGGACTGGAATGAAAGTCAGTCAGTCAGATGCAACGTAGAAATTTGTACGTAAGTACATCAGTTCATGTTGCCATACCACATCAGCACAGAGATGTAATTGTCAATTCAAATCCAATAATAGAAGAGGTAGTAAAGGTATTAGAAGTAATCGGAGAGGTTAGGATTCGAACATATTCAAGAAATATGATTCAGTGAGAAAAGTTTAGAAAGTCAAAACTAGAGTTGTTGAAGAATCCAGAAGATTAGGATTTGAGAGAACACAAAGAATTAATGCACCGGCGCCATTGCGAACGATTTTGAGCCGTGTCATTCAGGGTATCTAACCATCGATTATTATCATCTCGCGGACCCCAACCAGGTAGTCGACAATTACCGACATGGCTAAGTCCACTCATCAATGATTTCATGGATTTGTGACATGTTTTGGTTTGGCCGCCCCTAACTTTCTTCCAATCTACTACTCCTACACTACAAAACAAAGCTCGACGAGGCAGTCGTAGGTTGGGCATACGTAACACATGTCCTATCCACCTCAACTGATGAAGTTTCATTACTTCATCTATTGATCTGCCATTCTTACCTAGAACCCGTTTCCTAATAACAGCGTTGCTAACTCGGGTGTTCCAGGATATACGAGCAATGCTTCGAAGACACCTATGATCGAAAACCAATAACCGACGAGTATCTTCTACTCTGACTGGCCATGTTTCACAGCCATAAAGTAAGACAGAGCGAACTACTGCACAGTACACTCGTCCTTTAGTCAGCAAATGGATATCTCGCCTACGTCATAAGTGACGCAGGTTGTCAAAAGCCAATCGAGCTTTCTCTATCAGTGCTGAGATTTCGTCAGTCACCAGGCCATCAGTATTGATGGTGCCGATGCAACCCAATCTTGAAGCAACATTTTGCATTTAGACGGGGTAAACCGCATCCCGAACATGGAATAACAGATAACTAGTGTTTCACATAACTAATATGAATAAGTGGTAATTTGAAAGATAACTGTCAAATTAGTGATAGTGAATTAAGAGCGATTAATTTATTTATAAGAAATGGTTAAAACTGTTAACGGTTGTGAAGATTATTGAATTTCACCGAAATCACGTATCGATTATCTTTAGACCACCACTAGAAACCTGAAAGCACTAGAGAGCTGTCTCATCCTAGTATGGTATTCACCAACAGTACACATCCATGACATCAACATGCGGGAATCGAACCTAGGGCCTTCGGTCTCTTGCATGAACGTTTGACTTCTGAAACCACTCGAGACGGTACCTAACGGTGTTCATGTTTCACTTCAACTAATCCATGCTAATGAGTCCCATACCAGAACGAAACGGCTATCTAAATATAACTTAATTGCATATATCGATCAAACATTTCGGAGCATACTTCATTTTTTTTTATCAATCCTTGTTCAACTGTGAAAGGCTGTTTTTCAATAATCTCATCACAGTTGTTCTTCCTTCAATATATATCTATAATAACATTAAAGATTTTTGTTTCAATATACCATTACTATTATTTTAGTCAATATGCTTGAATTGAAACTAATACGTCGATGTTCAGAGCCGCCACCAATAACAACCATTGTACCTCATCATCATCCTCATCATCAGCTCAATGGAGAATCATCAGGAACAAGTACAAGCAATTCATTGTCACGTGATATCACATTTAATATTGATCAAAAAACTCAAATACTTACTATGCCTGTTAGTATATATCGTAGAAAATATCTTCAAAAAATGAATCAATGGATTAAAGATACTACTACTACTACAACTGATACTACTGATAAAAATGTTCATTACTTAAACGATGCTAATGATAAGGTTGGTTTAATCATTCAAC